GTGTATGTTATTTTTATGGGAGAGGAACTAATAAGGATGAAAATAAAGCCTTTGAGTGGTATTTAAAATCAGCGGAAAGTGGAAATACATATGGACAATCTAATCTTGGTTTATGCTATGAATTAGGGAACGGAACTAATGAAGATGAGTATAAAGCCTTTGAGTGGTATCTGAAATCAGCGGCGGGTGGAAATGCAGATGGACAATATAGACTTTTATTTATAAAAGTATAGCTTGCGTTATTAAAATTTTGATGAATTGGCTTTTTGATATTTAAAAAAAGTAGTGAACACCAAACCAACTTGGAATTGTGATTAATTTCAAAACAATTCAAAAGATATTTAAAGAATATCGTGTCTAATTTTTTTTAAATTATTAACAGAGAAAATTCCATCACTACTTTATTATCAATTAAATATTCATAAATCCACAAGAGAATAAGTATGATATAATAAGACATATTTTGTTAATAATATACAATTAACTCTATAAAATGCACGCATTACATACACCCTTTGGTTCAGTCCCAAGCTTATGATAAATTAATAAATGCACACCATGTCTGATTGATGGGATGAACGCATTTAGAGAGTTCACTATATATTTATATCAATGATTACTATAAATAAAAGTCTAACATCAAAAGAATCTTGATGTAAAGGGCATAAATATCCCTCTTCAACAATTTCCAATCTCCCATTTTCATCCTCCCCCCAAAATAAAAAGAATCTCAAAAATTGCTCCTAAACCGCTTGATTTCTGCAGTGACAGTCTGTACATCAACAGGTTGATGCCTCAACTTCATCATCATACGATCATTACTGCCTCTATTGTTATTACCTCTATTTCCGCCATCTTCTTCACCTCTATCATCATCCTTTTGAATTCGTGCTTCCAGATAATTAAAAAACTGAGTGTAATAAATAATCAGTTGTCCGAGAACAGCATGCAGTATAAAAGTACCATTTGTGAAATTGGAGAAATTTTGAATGACTGATGTGTTGATGGCGGTGATAGATTGTCGCCATGTATTTGAAAAGTCTAAAGAGATTTTGTCGAGAGTTTCTAACAGACGTGTTAATCTTGTTAATATTAATAAGTAATTAATTGAAATTGAACACGATAAAATACTTACCTAAACTAATAGTACCAATATCTTTAATTTCTTGAGCTTTTTTCACAAACTTGATTAATCCGCCAAAATAAGGATGCAACTCTTCTTCGACATACCCAGAAATCTTTGAATTCAACAATTCTTTAAAGCAATTAATTTCGGGGTCTAGCGCTTTTCCTCCATTTTCCTGTAATTACAAAATATTAAAAAAATGCTATATCGTTGTTGCAATATTAGAGATAAACGAATGACTTACACTCAAAATGGTAATCACTAAATCATAGTTATTTATCAAGAAAATGTATCGGTTTTTGCGTTCTTCGAATTCTAACGACATTTTATCAAGTAATGCCGTAAATTCGTTTTGTAGTCGTGTTAAACTATAAAAGCACAAATATCGTTTTTATAGATCAAGATTTAATGAATGAATCTGAATTAATTGATTGATTGATCGATACACACCTATCTTTAAGCGGTGGATCATTGTATTCATCATTTAATATCAATATCGATGCCGCAAATTCAGCATATCGACGCGAAATCTAAAATCCATTAATCAAAAAACAAGTTATCAAAGAAATATCTTAGAATAATAAACAAAAAAACATGATTTGAAAAAAACAAACATAATGAGGATGGACATCTCGAGCAACGAGTTTATTCTTAGCCTTCTTCACGCTTTCAATATGTCTGTCCATTATTGTCTTTAACCTGGGCCAAAGTAACATATTTATTTGGTTGGTGTAACTCTCTAATGCTGGTACTCGTCGTCGTTGCAATTCTAATGCGAATTGTGTATTCAAACGGATACACAACAGGATTCCAACTACATCGTAGCTATGCTCAACGTTCTCTTTGGCTGTGGCCTAAATTAAATTAACAAACAAAATTTAGCTAGAAATGTTTAGATAAAATATTCTCGTGACTTTAGGGAAAAAAAAGGTAACGTTACCAAGCCCAATTTTATCGTCGAATCAAAAATTTCGGCAAACAAGTCTCGCACCATATCTACCGCCGGTTTATCATCTTTTGCAAAAAATTCTAAAAGAAAAAGATATTCTGAACTAGCATTATCTATAAATGTTAGATTAAAGCTTCTGAAAAGCGCCTCTACTGGATATCTCTGTCAAAAAAAGTTTATTTGAAACGATTATTAATTTATTTATTAATAAAAACCAATAAAATGTAAAATAAACTATACATAATGTGCTAATTACCAGATTTTTATTTTCAGCTACGTGAACGAGTATGACACCAGCATCTTGACTGCGTAGTGTGTCAATTCTATCACCTAATGCAAAGATACTAGTTTTGTCCTGTAAGGCAATTCTAGTCGTGCCGAATAAGCCTCCTTTCCAACCCAGACAGAATCATGTTAATTATCTAATATATCCTCACTATATAAAATCAGAATTATAATAATTAATACCTTTCTTGACATTTTCATCATAACCCATTAAATCCAATTTATCACCAATCGGACTCTATCAAATAAATATAAAACACAAACAGCTTTAGAATTTATATATCGACTGTTTAAATAAGTAGAATAAATAAATGGAGACTAAGAATTTTACCTGAAGACTCTGCAATCCACGATTATACCGTTCAAAATGATTATAAAAATACCATTTCATAGTATTCACGTATGTCTGACGAATCTCAATAGCAACTTCAGGGTATTGTTCCATCACAAACTGATGCAATTCTTTATATTTCAGAAATACTGATTGTTGTAGAATTTGTACATTTGTGTTCGGTATTCGTAGTGATTTTATTTTCTTTAAAAGAAAATCACGTATTTTTTCGACAGCCTAGAATTGAACACGTAAAAATCAAACTTCTTACAAAGAATTAATAGTAATATTAATATTGATATTACTTACCTTTAGTCGTAATTTTTCCAATTCGGGTCCAACATCTTTAAAAGCCACGAATTCTTTATCTTGATTTTTGGTTACGTATATCATTTTCCTGTTAAGCTCGTTCAAATATGCAAGCCATGTTTCATCAACTTCACCTTCGGTAATTTTCCTATTTTCAAGAAGATTTTTGTAAATATTCGAAAAAAAGCACAAAATCAATTATAAGGTTCATACTTGATCATTGGTGGCGGAATGACAATGCCATCCAATACAGCACTTAATTGCTCTTCCACTGCCTATAGATAAGATATCCAAAGTATTATTACTATATTCTAATCTCCCAAATAAATAACTCACTGATTTAAATAATAAAACTTATTCACAGTTCTATTCTTGAGTTTGATACTCATGGTTAAAGACTTTTCTTGCAACGATTGAATTTCGGAGCTTATGTTTCCTAAATCCTTTTGAAATACGGAAAGCATATTTTCCATTTTCTCCAATATTTTATCACACGACTATTAAATCAAATAAAAAAAAATGTAACGTAAATTAACAATAAAACAATTAAAATGGCGAGTTAGGATACCTGAATTTCGTCATGCAAATTCACAAAATTCCGAGTTTGATTAACATCTGCGAGATAAAGATAATATTTATATAAGAAAATAAACTAATACGATAAATACATATCGTTCAACATGATAGATAAATTATAATTTATATACACTCAGATTCATGATCCCGCTCAGCAGCGTATAATTCTGTCTCAATATTTTGAGCATGCTCGCGTAAATCCATTCCCTACCGAAAACAAATCTATATCGTGAATTTCACAAGAGCCAAATACCCATTCACCCGTATATTCGTACCGTATTGAAAATTTCATTCATAATCACCACGATGATTACCCGTATTGACACACCCACTCACTTTTGCTAAAATTTCACGCACGAATTCATTCTCCTCAACAGCCGCAGTTGTATTCAATGTTGAAGATGATGCAGTGATGGGATCTAATATGAATTTTGTTATATGTAAAAAATGTGTAGTTTTTCTTATCAAGATAAGCATCGGTTAATAAGAAAGTGCATGTTTTGGATACGAGATATGAAACTAAAGAAAATTAGAAATTTACCGTCCACAGTTTCAGAATCTTTTATTTCCAGGATATCCTTTATTTGTGAAAATTAATAATGAACAAGATATAAAAAAACAAGAAAGCAAATATGCATATACAAAAACTAACATTATCACTTATATCACCAAGCAATTTTTCCAATAATTTTTCACTAGCAATAGTGGAAGGTGCCTTAGAAGTAGGCACAACTTCCTCCTCGTTAATAAAAGAAAGTGAAGCCATAGAATCTGCATTATTATTATTTTCGCGTTTCAACTAGATTTTGTACATCAATGTGACACCTGCCGATCGATTACAAACTTTATTTGATATATTTAAAAAACAAAAATGGCCAAGATGGTTCATATAATTTCACCATAATGACATTATTAAATAATTCCCTATTTTGACAACGAAATTTATGGTATCGTTATAGAGGTTGACGTGTATCCTCTTTTCAACACAAGTCACGGCAATAAACCTTTTATTTTTAATTTTTATGATTTACTACATACTCTAATAATTAATTAATTAATGTTCTTTTACAATCCCACCACAACAAACATAGCGACAACACCCAATGTCATCATTGTCTGTGAGAATTTAATCGAAACACGCAAACTATCGACATCACTAGACGAGCTACCATTATTAGATCCACCATTAGCAGTTACAGTATTGCCCAGTTGTTTCGGGACATATGAAACGTTATTTAAATTCGCGACCACAGAAAATACATTTTGATTGTTTGCCCCTATCTCATAAAAATCGACTGCGACAAAATTCGGAGTTTTACCGAATGTTGCTTTGCATGCTGCAGCGTGTTGTTGAAGACTTTGTGAGTTTGTTGTGTTGGCAACATCGTGTTGAGGAAATTCAATATCTTGGCCATTTGTGATACTCGCTGGTAATTTACCACTCAAGAAATGGTTTAACACGTACATATTACGGGGTTGATTCTTTGGTCGATCTACCGTACATTGCCAACCGTTTGGATCACTATTATCGAATGGTGTTTCAAATACGTAATTGTATTCCGCCATTAACCTATTGATTATGTATAATTAATGTTTAATGAAGATGTCTATGTGAATGCTATTCATCCAAGCATATCAATTACTTACCAAGGAACACTTTGATCTGCACCAACATCAATGAAGTTCACAACTCTTTTTCCCGAGTTAATCATTGACTGTAAAGTGGGCCAAGCACTCGTTGCATCTTGCTGTGGATACACATAAGACATTATGCCTGATGATTGATAGGCTGACATGAACCTTGATGTTAATATTTTGTCAAAGTTTTCCCAGAAAATAGTGATCACCTCATTTGGGTTTGATTGTAACCAGGTGACAATTTGTTGTAAAGTGTTCACGAGATTTCCCGCGTCCAATAAATTACAAGATTGATGGCAAAGTTCAATTGCTTGTGAATCAGTGCCGTTAATTGGATTGTGCGCGTCAAGCATAAATGCGCGAATGCCATCCTTTAGTTGAGTTGGTATATCAAAATCTTGATTCGCTGCTGCTTGCTTACCGAAAGCAAACGCGTTGTGCGTAGTCGCGTAAGCAACCTCTTGATAAGATTTGGAGCAAAGTTCCGCGTACCCATTACACACGCTATTCGTCCCTCCAGTTGTAGAATTATTAGTGGCTGTTATTGTTGTTGTGCTCTTGGTTGTTGTATTATTAAAAGCGCCAGCTTGTGATATGATCAATTGCAACGAGAATAAGATCCCAACAATTGAAGAAATGGTATTCCTCATCATTTTTTTCAATAAAAATGTATTTTTGAGGTATGATGCGAAATATTTTAATCTTATGATGCTCGAAAATGTACGAAAGTCTAACCAGCTTTATTCTATATATATATATATATATATATATGTAAATCTACAAGCGAGTTTGAAGGTTAATGAATATATGGTTATTTTATATATATATATATAGCTATATAGAGATATATATATATGTTAAAGAAAAATAAAATACAAAAGGAAAGGAAGCGAATGCGATTTAGGTGTAAAAAGAGCGAATCTAAAAGGAGAAATGGTTTATTGCTAATCAAATATGACTATTCTATAAGACAACTATTCAACAGTTATCTTTTAAAAACGCTACATTTTTTCGACCGCACAACGAACTAAATACAAATACTTTTTTTCTCAAAAAAAATGTTACACATATGCGAGTAAAAGACGCGACTAAAAGACACAAATCAAAAATTTTCCCATATTCCATATTGTTACTTTATATATCGATTTTACAATTTGTGTGTGCATATATGCACATTGATCGCAATTGGTTAATCCTCTCGGACTTAATGTATTAATAGAATGGGCGTAGATCACACATGCATACAATCATTACAATCATTCAAACTTAACTACTTTTTCTCAATTAACTAAAGTTTTGAAAAAATGAGCGGCATCACCGATAACGAAAAACTTCAGTATTTCTCTGTGTTCAACCAACTTGGTCCTGTAAATGGATTTATTACAGGTTGATTCATTACACTTTTGCTCGTGAATCTCTTATCTTGAACTCTTTGCTTACCTCGAAAGATTTGATACTATACTACACTAATTCAGGTTCTCAAGCACATAAATGGCTTGTAAATTCAAACTTGCCAGTAAACAAGTTAGAAAGAATATGGTAATTTAACGCAATAACAAAAAACCTCTTATTGTCTATTTAACCATTGTTATATTTAGGGATCTTTGTGACATAGATAAAGACGGAAACCTTGATTTTGACGAGTTTGCAGTCACTTTTAGATTAGTCAATGATCTTTTGGCAGGAGTATACCCTGACGTTCCACCAACGCTTCCGCAACACCTTATTCCTCAGAGCAAGTTGCATTTATTAGCAACACACGGTGGTGGTGGTAGCATCGGGAATTTAGGCGGAGGTGGAACTTTTATTGGAGCAGCAGGAGGAACAAGCGGACAAATTACAGCTGGATTTAATACACCAGGGATTGGACAGATTAATATTGGTGTGAACGATTTGTTAAGCGCTCAGGAACGATTTCCTCCGATACCTTCAACATTACCTAATCGGAATCAAGTATTTATTTATTGTTACTCTCTATTTTTTACGAGGAATTAAATTAAGATTCTCTTAATACCGCAGTTTTCGCAAGCTCCACCACCAGCTCCATCTCCTACACTTCATGTACGCAATAATAATTTATCAATTTTTTCTTGAGTTTTGTTTTGAATTATTCATTGATTAATTATGATTTTCATACCTAGTCCAGTTACGGTAGTTTTCCAACCGCACCATTGACAGACGATTTTGATTGGTATATGCCACCCGCTGATAAATTTAACTACGAGAATCAGTACACCAGTCACGCTGGGGCACATGGATATGTAAAATGTAAGGCGTAGATTAATCTATTTGATTGCTAAATACAATAGATCCTTAATACATTTTGTATAATGGATTTTTTCTTCTTCAAAAAAGTTGCATATTTCGATGACCTATATTTACAGCTTGGAATTCCCAGAGAAGAGTGTATAGCCGCATGGTACGATAAATTTTTGGCTATTTTATTTTTGGTGATTTTTATTTTGTTTATAGTATTTTCACGAATTTTCTTTTTACTATTGGTAATGAACATTAGGAACCTTGCAGATGTCAATTTCGAGCAACAACTCGGTAAAGATGCGTGTTTAGTATTTTTACACATACTCAATCAACGCAGTAAAGGAAAACGTATTCCAAGTCAATTGCCAAATGCTCTAAAAACTTCATTAATACGCGGAAAACTTAATTATAACTATAATGAAACGTTGGATCCTACGTCTACTACACGTCGAGCACGTTCTGATACCAGCGATTCGGGATCAACGCGGTCCTATGGAGGTATCTATTTCAATTCTTTTAAATTGTGGCCATTTGCTTTGCATAGTCTCTAAGAATATTCGAAAATACGAAAAAAGGAACAAAACGAGAGGAAGAACAACTACTACAAAAACTCGCCGACTTGAACGAAAAAATACAAAAAGCCGAAGAAAGAGCACTTTCAAGTTACACTAACGCACTATCTTCCACGACATCCTCGGAAACGATAACAGAATTTCAACAGCTGCTAGAATACAAGCAGAAGCAATTATCCGCCCTTAAAGATCTCGTTGGTGCCAAACAGAAATCATCATCTGTGTTTCTTGAGAATTATATTCGGCGCGAGAAGTCCGCGGTACGTGAATTAGAGGAGAATTTACAGTCGTTGAAAACTCAATTCTCGATATTGGAAACACATTACAATAACAGTGAACGCGAGTTACGACAGTTGCAACAGGATATTGAGGTGGCTAAGAGTGGAAGATAATTATTTTTTGTTGGTTAATTTCTGAGTTTGACATAGTGGTTGGGTGTGATAAGAACTTTTTATTTATTTAATTTAGAATAATACTTTATATTTTCTTTAACACGCATGAGACACAAGAAATGATCAATTAAAAAATGGATACCAATAGAATAAACTGATTTTAACAAAATGTTCATGAGGATCAAATTGATCATTTGTTTTCTTATAATATTAAAATTCCAACGTCTGTTATTTAAGTGAAAATTTTTTTAATAATTTTGTAAAATTCATCTATATTGGTATCATCTTTGTCATGTATATATAAAAATAATTTATTAGATAAATTTTTTCATTTTAATGTTATTAGTATTAGTATTGTATGAAATAGAATTCTTTGTTCAATTAATCAATTATATTTTTTAGATATATTTTTTGCAAGTAAAAAAAAAATTATAATTTATTTGATATTTCAACTTATTTCAAGAATATTTAATAAACTTTAATATTATTATTGATTTTATTTATTATTTTTATTTCATGATTTTAATTATATTATTTTATCATATTTTATTTTTATTATTTATTATTTTCTTATTAATCTCTTATTTATATTATATTATAATTATTAATTATTATTTATATAGTTCTTTTTTTATTTTAATTAATTAATTATTTTATTTATCTTATTTTTTATGATATTAATTATTATTTATATTATATTTTTAATTATCTTAATACATATTTATTTCTTTAATTTTTTTATTAATATTATTATTATTTTTTTTATTTTTATTTTGTGATTTAAATTATATTATTTTGGTTTATCTTATTTTATTATTTTTATATTAATCTTTCATTAATTATTAATTATTAATATAATTAATTATATATTTATTTATAATTCTTAATTATTAATTATTAATTATATTATATTTTATTATTTTAAATATTATAACAAAACTAATTAAATTAATTTATAGATCATATTGCATTACATATAATTTATTATATCATAATCATTCAATTATGTTAAGAATAATTATATGATTACTTAAATTATTTTAGTTTTAAAAAATATTCTTTACTATTTCTTGTTTTATTAAAATAGTTAAACTTATTAATCTTTTTATTGACTAATTATTTTATAAAAAATAAAAAATATTTAAATAAATCTTTTTTATTTTATTTTTATATTAATAAAAAATATTTATTTTTACTTTTAAATCTATTAAAAATATATTATTAAATAAATAAAAATAATATTAACTTTTTATTTAATAATAAAATATTATATAAGTTTAATAAATACACAGTGACTCTCTTTATAGTGTAATACAAAAATCCAATCAGTTTTTATACTATAAAGAAAGATTCACAAAAACAAAATCTCACTTTATAGTGTAGTAAATACTAAATCATGTGAAGTATACTATAAAGAATGTTTTTATAATATATCATATCAAATTAAAAATAAATAATTTGTAATTAAAATGTATTAAATATGATAAAACATGATTAAAGTTGATATTTATTATTTAGAAAAGTAATTAATAAGAGTAGATTGTTATCTACTCTTGAAGTTTCTTCTAATAATCTGACAATTCAAGCTACTTAACATCTTCATAATTTTCAAGTTAACATCTATAGTATTCTCTTGTTGTAAATACTTTATTACCTTTTCTAATTCCTCTAAAATATCTATTATTATTATCAGTATACTCAATTCTTCATGATTTTCAGGTTCTTAAGCCTCTTTACCAGTCACAAATTTGACAATTTCCTCATCTGTTATCTGTTCCTCACTTGCTACTTAATTATCAATTTGAATATACTCCATGACTGACAAAGGATCAGAAACTTGGAGTATTTGAAAAATAAGATTTGTGAGTTCACCCTCAGTTTCAGTATAACCCATAGTAAAATCTACAAATTTATAATTATTATCATTATCATCAACAGGAAGTATACCAGCATATTGCCAGCTATTACAAATTGTAGTCTCAGTTACAGAATTCCAAGCAATAGCAGAAAATTCAATTGCATTTCAAATAGTAAGAGAGCTAGACATTAGATTCTTAGGTGTAAGAGTGTCATAGGCTTCAATCCGATCTTGATATAAAAGTTTTCAATAATTAGTCTAATATTAAAGCAACCAATTAATAATTATGAATGAATAAAAATAACAAGTCATAAATATCTTTAAGCTATAAATAATTTCTTGGTCAATCAGTTGTAAGTAAGATGTCATATTTGAAGGAAGAAAATGAGTTCGAATATTTGAATGAGTATTCAAATTTTCTACATCATAACTTTTTGCATTATCTATTAAAAGAAGAATATGTCAGTTTGCTTAGCGCATTTTATGTTAAGTTGGTCGAGATAGTGATTAAAAATAATTCTTTGCATCTATATCTTATTATTCCAATAATATTAAACTGGAAGTATATTTTTGTCAATTCTCCAAAATATAACCAGCATCTTGAATTTATGAATAAATAATAAAGGTAATTTTTCTTCTATTGCACTGTATGTTACCATAATACTAATATGATCCTTTGGCATTTTCTTTCTGGCAACTGGTTTATGAGTGAGAGTTTTGCATAGTTCAAGCTTCTAAAAAAGAGCAGTTTCATTATAATTAAAAATATTTTTCAATGGATATTTATGAAAAACATCTTGTAATTTGATCTAAAATCATGGAATATCTTCAATTGGTACACTTCCTGATTCTCTTTATTACTTGTATATACTAAAATTATTTTATTTTTTGAATTTGGCAAGCCATCTATCTGAAGCAGTAAAGTTTTTAACTCCAAATCTTTCAGCAAACCACTTAGCTTTCTCTTGAATTAAGATTTCTTGAATAGTAAGTTCTCAAGCAATAGCTTGATCAATCCAGATTAACATTGCTTCTTTAATTTCTGGATAGTTACTTTTCTGATCATACTTGAATTTGGCAGCTGTTGATTCTGCTTCAAGACTTAACCAATATCAAGATCTTTTAAGAATTTTAGAGATAGCTTGTTCATTAATCTCAAAGTCTTTTGCCAGTTCTCAGTCCTTGATCAAAGAAAAGTTCCATTTTTTTTACATAGTTATTTTTTTCTACAAAATTAAAAACTTCAAGCTTTAATAGCTTTTTTGTATTAATTATTATTCTTCACTTAATATAATAATTACTTCCTAAAATTTATCATTAATATATAATAACCCTTCTTTTTCTCTTATTAAAATAATAATTCCCTCTTATTATTAAAATACTTTTTTCTAAATATTATCATTAAATTATTACATACTCTGCTCTAGTTAAGGCTGTATACTTATTAAAGCTATCTCCATTATTAGATTCTGTTGACTCTCTCTCTCTCTCCATTCTTGACGTGGTAAAAAAAAAGATCTACTGAAAAAAAATTCTGACATGTAATACTTTTTAATTTTACTATATCGAACTTTATTCTACAATAGGTATTGTGGACTATACAATAAAATATATACTATAAGTAGAAATAACATAATTATATTATTTTCACTTAGTTTAGATTATTCCCACTCCAAATTGATGACAAGATCATATGAGCATCGTCATTTGAGTGATGATTGGTTTACGAGTTTGTTATTATACTTAGGTATTCATGATCTATAAAAAATATGATGACAAATTTGCATTCATATTATTACACTTAGATACCTCACAATCTATAAAAAATATGATGATAAATTTGTGTTCATATCATCACACTTAGATATCTCACGATCTATAAAAAAATATGCTAATGATGCATTCAGTTACATATTGTCATTTGCAGATCTAGTATGAGAGCTATGCCCAAACTGGACACATAGTGCCTTAGCTTTCTGGTTAATTTCTCTATGAAGGCCAGGTTTGAGGTATGTAGTGCTGAATTACTAATTATTATAATGTACTCGAGTATCGATCAAGGATGAGACATGTAGTATCAAATTATTAACATATCTGGTAATAATATCAAAGCATCTGATAATGAGACACATAGTGCTAAATTGTTATCATTTATTTCGTATTCATCCAAAGCATAATTTTTTATAATATATCTGTAATAATTTTACCTTGAGTGGACACTGATTTTTCTTTCAAATTATGTAGTCAAAATAGTATGCTTTGTATCTAACTACCCTTTCTATAATAATTATATCTTGACCAGATACCAATTTTTCTTCGAATTATATATACTCTTTGTGTCTATCCAAAGTATAACTACTCTTTCTATAATAATTATACCTTGACTGGACACTGATTTTTTTTAAATTATATTGCCAAAATCATGCCTATTTGATATCTACTCAAAGTATACTTTTATAACATTAGTAATTATATCTTGATCAGACACTAATTTTTTTCAAATTATACCTTGACCGGACACCAATTTTTTTCAAATTATATCTTGACCGGACATTAATTTTATCTATGCAATCTTATATTCTGAATTTGGTCCATTATTAAAAATGTGCAACACAAAAATGGTTATCAACTACCTGATACATATATTATATATGCGTTCTTTTTCAAAATATGATCACTTTTATTTCAGAACTTTATGATCTAGATATCAAAGTATTAATTTTTGATTTGAATTTTTTCTCATACTTATTGTAAGAGACGCCAAAAATCCCCTTATCTGAGATGAATAACTAGTTAAATGTAGCAGTCTTTCTGTTTCAGAAATTACTACTTAACTAGATTATATTATCTTAAATAATAGTTACGTATATTCAATGATTGCTAAAGATTTATTTTTCAGCTCTTTTTTATGCGGAATAGTAGGAACTTTTATTTTAGCCTCATAATTTTGCTTGTATTTCAGGAAAGTGATCTTATCCATATTCTCGCACTTTTTTTTCCAGTAATTATGATTATCCCACATTTCAAAGGCAATCTTAGTTCTCCATTGTTCTAGCTTTTCTTGAGATATTTGAAATTTTTACTATAAATAAGAGATAAGAATATCTACATCAAATTTATTTTTAATAAGAAATTCTGAAGA